ACCAGCCAAAGGTCAGTCACAAGCCTGACGACAGAGACAGCCAAGCTTATACTACCCAAAGCTCCATCCCAATCATCAGCTCACGAACAGTCCTATAGATGTAGCAAAGCACTTGATGTTTATACACAATGAACTCTGCAACTGCAGTGACAATGGGGAAAGGCCCATTGACTACCAGGAAAGACTGGTTGATCCTGGATAATTCCAGAAACGCTGAATCTCAGCACACTTGGCACAAGGGCCAGCTACCCTGTACCATAGTTAACATATTGCTACGAGTATTATAGAAGTCCTTAATAGGCCTCGAAACAGACAGAACAAGACGGATTTGAACCCAAGCACACGTGACACGGACGAGAATAGGACTGCGAATACAGATGATGACACTGAGACAAGACGTCGATGCGACAGCTGTGGTGGTATTTTCAAGAACGAAAAGGGCGTTAAGATACATCTAGGTAAAACGAAGCTGAATTGCAAAGAGAAGCTTAAACAGCGTATAGCAGCAAGCACAACAAAGAGAGCTGCTAGTGAACCGGAGGAAGACAGAGGCCAGGAGGCAAACCATAGTGCCACTGACTTCCACGTTGAAGCTGATCCAAGCCAAGTAGCTAGTCAAGTTAGTGGAAAAGAAACACCAACTCTGGAGAGAAAACCACGGCTGAAGTATCCACCAGCAAATGACGCCAAGTGGAAGGAGCTAGACAACAACCTGGACACTATTCTAGAGAGTACTCTCAAAGGAAGTGCTCCCAGGAAGATCACCACAATGACGAGAATAGTTTTTGAAGAGGCGGAGGAGCTCTTCGGTGTGACTGAGATGTCTCACAAAGTGAAACGACATGCTGGCCCAAGCAGAAGACAAAGAAAGATCACTTCCTTACGTAGAGAGATGCGACAACTGAGAACGCAGTTCTGGAAAGCAGGACCAGAAGCCAAACAAGGTCTCAAGCAGCTGTTGACAGAACTACACAAAGACATTCTCAGATTACGTCAAGCAGAGAACCTCCGCAAGAAAGCACGAGAGAAAAGCAGGGCAAGGAAAGCATTTTTCGGAAATCCTTTTAGATTTGTTTCAAGCCTACTGGGAAAGCCTAAGAATGGTCATCTTCAATGTTCCAAAGAAGAAGCAGAAGAAAGCATCAAAGCAGCTCACAGTGATCCACAACAGAATACCCCATTGGGAGAGTGCCCATATCCCTTACCTTGCCCAGAACCAACGATCCCCTACAAACTATCTGACATCACATTTCAAGAGATCCAAGACATAGTCAAACATGCAAGAGCAGCATCTGCCCCTGGCCCTTCCGGTGTAACATACAGGATATACAAGAACTGTCCAAAGCTCCTCAAGCGACTTTGGAAACTTATCCACGCCATCTGGAAGAAGAAAGAGCTACCCACCTCTTGGACCTATGCTGAAGGTTGTTTTGTTCCCAAAGAAGACAAGTCTAGTTCTCTTGACCAGTTCAGGGAGATTTCTTTATTAGATGTTGAGGGGAAAATCTTTTGGTCAGTTGTAGCTAAGAGAATGACCAGTTTTTTGATCAGCAACAACTACATCGATCCAAGTGTACAGAAAGGTGGCATATCTGGTTACTCTGGATGTCAAGAACATACTGCAGCCATCAGTCAGCTAATTAAAGAAGCCAAGCAACAGAAGTCTACTTTAGCTGTTGTGTGGCTAGACCTGGCCAAAGCTTATCCAAATGTTCCCCATCAACTTATACAGACAGCACTTTCTCATTACCACATCCCAGAGGAAGTAATTAACCTTACAACAAACCACCTTGGCAACATGAAGATGCGTTTCACCACAAGGAACTTCACCACCTCATGGCAGCCACTAGAGAAAGGCATCATGGCCGGATGTACCATCTCCGTCATACTTTTCATAGCTGCAATGAACATGCTTCTGAAGGTTGGAGAAGCGCAATGCAAAGGACCAAAAGCAAAGGATGGCACTAGACACCCATGCTGCAGGGCATTCATGGATGATATCACAGTCATGACGCAGTCTATCCCTGGCATGCGGTGGATTCTCACAAGTCTCGAGGAAATGGCTACATGGTCCCGTATGCAGTTCAAGCCCAAGAAATCACGCAGCATGACCATCGTCAAAGGACAACTGACCCAAAGACACACTTTCAACATCCAAGGAGCAGCTATCCCATCCATCCAAGATGAACGTATAAAGTGCTTAGGGAAAGTCTATGACGAGACTTTAAAGGATAGCAACACCACTAAGGAAGTCTTCAAGGAACTAGAAAGATGGATGGAAACTATTAACAAGAGTCACCTCCTAGGTAAATTCAAGGTATGGTGTTTCCAGTTTGGAGTAATCCCCCGATTTCAATGGCCTTTCTCCTTGTATGAATTCCCTCTATCCCTTGTCAATTCCATGGAAAGGTTGTGCAACAGATTTTTGAGGAAATGGTTAGGAGTACCTCCAAGCTTCAGCTCCTGTAACCTTTACAGCACATCTTCAAAGTTGTCCCTCCCAATTTCTTCACTGGTGGAGGAATTTAAGGTGGCCAAAGTCAGGGCCATTACAACCCTTCGGATGTCCAAGGATCCCAAGGTCCTTTCCTCAGGAGAATCACTATCAACTGGAAGGAAATGGAAACCTCAGCAAGCAATAGCAGAAGCAGACGAACGGGAGCGACATGAGCAGATAGTTGGAGTTGTTTGCCAAGGTCGATTAGGCTTAGGCAATTATGGTTCCAAGCTATTAGAAAAGACTCCAAAAGCAAAGAAAGACCGCCTGGTAAAGCAAACGCGTAAAGCGCAGGAAGAAGAACGCCTTGTAAAAGCAGTGGGGCTTTCCAAGCAGGGAAACTGGACCCAATGGGAATCAATCATGGAAAGATCTCCTACATGGAAAGATCTTTGGACAGTTGACCAAGCAAGCCTCAGCTTTATATTGCGCGCCTTTACTGACCTTTTACCAACTCCAACAAACCTAAGCACTTGGGGCCTTGAAAATGACAACACATGCCCTCTATGCAAAAGACCCAGATGTACCCTAACCCACATCCTGAGCAGCTGCCAGACAGCACTGAGTGAAGGCCGGTACAGATGGCGACACGACAAAGTCCTACAGAAAATTGCTGAATGGGTCGACAGAGCTAGAACACACAACAAGCAACTCGTCCCCACAAAGCCCATATTCACAGCATTTCAACTGGAGGGAAAGCAACCAACTCCAAGGACTAAGAATACAGACCCATCAATTCCTCTCTCGTCACTGTCTAAGGCCTCTGATTGGAAATTGCATGTCGACCTGGATAAGAAGTTAATCTTTCCTCAGAACATAGTAGCAACAACACTACGTCCTGACATGCTACTTTTATCAGAAAGTTCTAAGACCATACTAGTGATAGAACTTACAGTACCATGGGAGGAAAGAATAGACATATCCCACCAACTCAAGTACAACAAATACCAAGATCTAATCCATGAAGCCCAGAGCAAAGGATGGCAAGCAAGACTATACCCTGTAGAAGTAGGATGCAGGGGCTTCCCAGCTTTGTCTCTACGCTCATTGTTCAAAGACATTGGGGTACATTCTAGCCAACTCAGACGAGCAATGAGAGAAATTGGAGCAGTTTCAGAATCGTGCTCCAGGTGGCTCTGGATAAGAAGACGTGACAAATGGACCCACCAATAAAACGAAGAAGTTTTCCATCATTCTTCAACCACCAAATGAAATGTCCCAAAGCTTCAGTCTCTGGAATGGGAGTGTTGGTACCATCAAAGATCTTAAACCAGCCAAAGGTCAGTCACAAGCCTGACGACAGAGACAGCCAAGCTTATACTACCCAAAGCTCCATCCCAATCATCAGCTCACGAACAGTCCTATAGATGTAGCAAAGCACTTGATGTTTATACACAATGAAAAAATCTATGTAGCAAAACAAAAGTAAGAGTGGATTTTGTGAAATTCAGCCAAAAAAATACAGATAGCTGATGGTATCAGCCGATGTATAACAAGAAAATCACATTGAAGTAGATCATACATATTCGTGACTCAATTATTAAAATTACTACCGTATTCTCACTCATAGACGCACACACTCCAATAAATGCACAGCCGACTTTTCAAAGAAAGACTGGCAACTTAAGAAACAAAAATCAAAAAAAATATTAGGCGATAATAGGGTTAATAATTCACTAACCCCTATCGATAGAGCCGTTTGTATTTACAATGCTGTTTCAGACGTGTCTGGAATCTTAAGAACTATGAGAACATTCATAATAAAATTAAAGTGATGAGTTAAATGCTATAATTAACAGAATTTGACTTAGATGTCGCCGTTATTTCCAAAATGGCAGGTGGCTCAGGAAGGAAGTAGAGTGAATTATTTCAATGATACTAACGCATATATGTTGACTAATCCACAAAGACATAGTCAGCCAATCGATAATGCATGATGAAAACATTGAAGTATGATATTATGTTATCTAGTCGGAGTGAGTCCAGTTTAGGGAGGATAATCATGAATTACCCTATTATCGCCCAGATATGTATCATTCAAAGATCCCCGGGATTTTGCAATTGAGAATTGGGAGATGCACTTTGCATTTATTAAAACAAAAAATGGTATTTGAATTGAATGAATAGCTTTACATCATTAGCAATCCTAGTTTTAAAATATCATTGATAAAAATACAGCAGATTTTGTCTATTTAGATAAAAGCAAAATGACTGATCCGAATATGAAAGTTGAATTTAAGTTGCAATACCTAGAAACATCTCCTCTCTAGATTGGAATTGCTCTCTAATTATTGTTTTAAACAGGAACTCATATATAGAGAGACAGATGGACAGCCAGACAGAGGGAAGGACCCACGGAGGGATGGATGGACGAACAGATGAACATAAGGATGGACAGACAGACAATGACAGAGGGATGGACAAACGGACAGATGGACAGACAAGTGGGTGATACCCATGTGAGCTAAAATCTGCCTAAAACTAACTGGCTAGTAATACCTACCTGCTCCAAAGCCTATGGCAAACCTTGCAGCCAGAAGGACCCAACTTCTCTTGGCAGGGATCACCTCAATGTAAGCATAAAGAATGTTTGCTGCAATATTGATACTGATGGAAACTACTAGAGGAACATAAGAGTTCTTTTGAATGTTTGCCCAGCCTCCAAATATGGGTGATGCTAGGAACTGTCCAAGACTGTAGGCAGCCACAACCAAGCCCAAAAAGGTGGAACCAGCGGAAGGGTCCACCTACAAATACAAGATCACGGTATGTGAGTTCAATAGAGTAACCACATATTTCAGTCATACTTTCTGAAAAAAGACTTGATAATTAAACCTTCTAGACAACTCATCCCAAGACAACTCATCCCTAAACCATCTGATCCCAAGACAACTCATCCCAAAACAACTCATCCTCAATACATCTCATCCCAAGACATCTCATCCCAAGACAACTCATCCCAAGACAACTTGTCCCCAAGACTTCCCAATTTTATACAATTAATTCCAACTTTTCAAAGAATCATTGAAAAGCATTCAGAGATTTTAGCAGTTAACACACTGTGTTTGGCCATGGAATATCTTTGTTTTTTTTATTATCTACATTTTAATGCTGTATTTCAAACTGACACATTTTATATTTTGTCATGCTGTATTTACTTAATATTTTTGTATTCTGTAGTTTTAGTTTATTTTTGTTGATTGATTGGGATAAAAATAAACATGTTCAAATAAATATATTATATTATATATAGTTTGATTATTAAGGGAAGATCATCAAAGTTGTCAGATTAGGATTAACTCAGTAAGAATGTATTATCTGGGGTATTATCAGAATAATTCTCCCAGATTAATTCGGTCTTTGTTTTAAAACATTTAGCTTAATTCCAATAAGTCATATTTGGCTTAATCCTAGATAAGATTTCCAATTTCAAACTTTCAGATTAATGATGATTCAATTTGAAAATTATGTCTATGACTTATATCTTTAATTATTTCTTCTCAAATATATTGAGAATAACCCAGAATTATTCAAAATACTGGTGCTTAAAAAGTAAAACATAACTCTCAAGTGCCATTTCAAAATGCTAAAATCAGTATTAAAAATTGAGTGTGAAATCAAATATCACTTTGTAATCGTAAAAATGAAAAAGAGATATACATTGTACATTGTTTGTATTAAAGAGATTAATAATTTAATTATACAAGTGGGATGGGTTGACTTGGGATGAGATGTCTTGGAATGAGTTGACTTGGGATGAGTTGTCTTGGGATGAGATATCTTGGGATGAGATGTCTTGGAATGAGTTGACTTGGGATGAGTTGTCTTGAGATTAGATGTCTTTGGATGGCTTGTCTTGGCATGAGTTGTCTTGGGGATGAGCTGTCTTGGCATGAGTTATCTTGGAATGAGATATCTTGGGATGAGTTGTCTTGGGATGAGTTGTCTTGGGACGAGATGTCTTGGGATGAGATGTCTTGGGATGAGATGCCTTGGGATGAGTTGTCTTGGGACGAGATGTCTTGGGATGAGATGTCTTGGGATGAGTTGTCCTGTTACCATTAAACCCACCTAAAACCAAAAGATAGCCTACGTGGGAAGAAGGAAATTGGCACTAAAACATACATGTACATTAAGATCCATAACATTCTTTCAAAAGACAAAAGTGTAACACTATATCAACACAAATATTACTATTTTGTCAACTCACCACTTGTAAGTATGGCCATATAGAAGACATGCAAATGGAGAAGCTCACACTGCTGAGGAACATGGTCAAGTACATGATGCGGATGGACCTCCATCTGCTCTTGTATACATTGGGTGGCTCCAGTATTGTACTGGGAACACCAGTCAATGATGCATGTCTGAAACATTCAATAAACTTATTCACAATCAAAGTACGATTGTGACTTAGCAATCAATCGCATTAAGAGCGCCATATCATTGTGACTATCCTCTACCAGTCACAATACAGTCGCAATATTAAGGGTTGCATTATATTTTATATTATATTGTGTTTAGGCTTCCCAGAATTATTAGCAATTTTAATAAAACGTTTTTCGGTATACTTATCAACCTATACTTTAAACAGCATCGTCATTTTATTTTTACTGACAAAATACTAAGGGTCTAAGTTTAATTTCAGTTGAAATAGATTTAAATTATAGAGGTTGCCATTTTTACATTTTACTCCATGCTTGACCACTTTAGTATACCAACTCATACAGGATATAATGTATCCCTTTTATTTTGTGGATAATCCCTTACATGATCACGCGTTAGTTTAGTAAGACATGCTTGAATAATTTTCAAACCCTGCCAGGACTAAATACTTTTACCGGAAATCCGATAACGCATGCTCCAAAAAATTACTCGGAAATGCAAAATGGTAGAATGTAAAATATTTGTTTGCTCGGAAAGAAGTTCATTTTATGACTCTAGTCATTACTTAGGATATACTTTGACATCGCAGGACGGTAGAAACAGTGGTATTCTTTGAGTTGAGCATCGAAATATGACATAGTGAGTAGTATTTATCTTACGAATTACATGTAATTTATTGGATGTGCAATCGAGCGTTTTCCAATGGGGATGATACATAGACTTTACATTTGGAAAAAATATCCAAATTTTAAAAATCAACAAATGCTAAAGCCTTCTTCAAGGCTAACTCCAGCCAAGCCCGGAGGGTTTTCGTAAAACACCGACCGCCGACCACCGACCAGTCACTTTCCACAGTTGGGTACATGTGGTCGGTGGTCGGCTGACGGTCTTTTACATAAAGATGAAAAATGCAAAATTAGAAGTAAAACTAAAACTGGGAATCCAATGACTATAGTACCTTTACTAGGTCGTGATTTAAAAACGTATAATTATCATTTCAAATCACGACGAAAACGTAACATCGTCGTGGTGTGTAATGTCATATTTTTAAGTGATGTTTCAGTTGTTAGAAGACCAATTTCATCCTGGTTAGTCACTTTGGAAAAAAACGCACGTAACATTGCATTAAATTCATTCTTCATTCATATGAAACGCAATAACAAAAAACACACAAACATCGTCGATGCTGACGTCGTAACGTTATGTTTGATTTCTCAGTTGTTAAACGTCAACTGGTAAAAACTACATTTGATTAGTGTTGTCGCGATGTGCCATAATCGTACATCGATGTATCGGCAATTTTCAGTAGTAAACATCGATGCACATCGCGATGTACATAGAGAAAAAGTTTGAGAAAAGTGCACTGAAATACCGAACTCTAATGCACTAAAAAACCGAACAGAACAAATTAATAAGAGTACACTGGTGCATCCGGGAACTTCTAGTAACGGTGAAATGAAAGTAAAGTAGATTTTTTAAGATGAATGGTTCATTTCGACAACCTAAAACAGTTTTAAAGCGAAAGAATATCAGAAAACATTGGAAAATGAAATAAGACATGAAAAAAGGTAAGCAATTTGCGTCAAAATAAGATAAGAAAAGGCGATTTTTAGCAAATTAATTTTTTTTAAAACATCGATGTTTTGTTTCAGACATCGATGCATCGCCAGAATCAGCTTTGGCGATGTATATCGCGATGTATCGATTAATCGCGACAACACTACATTTGATATGACAAAAAAAAGCTTTCTAATGGTGTACTGAAATGGTAATGTCACTTTTAATCCCGATAAGAGAACGCATGTAACATTATATCGTGTTCAGTATTCAGTAGGCTATGACGATAACAAATCATTTTTGTTTCGAAATTGTTAAATTTCAGTAAAAAATTAGGATAGATTCCCGTAGAAATGATAGGTTGGTTAATGATAGGTTAGGACCTAAGGCAGGGCAATTAATCGAGAGGAGAGGGTCATGACCAATTTGTTTGCTTGCCATTCGTTGCAAGGTACAAAATCGGTAAAAAACGTTGCCTAGTCCAACGATTGACATTCAAAATCAAATTATTAATATTCTAAGGCTACAAATACAGGGTGGTCAAAAAAAATGGAAACCCTGCATTTTCCTAATATCTTTGTCACTTTAAAGAATTACTCCCTGATATTTCACATAGTTGTACATCATTCAATTTCCTACCACCCTACCAAATTTCATGACCATCAGACTGATAGTCACAATTTTACAGCACTTTGAATAACATGCTTCAAGTTTGGCCATCATCACGCTGTAGGCAAACCTGCACAGTTATCAATGGGCCGAATGCATTCCTCAGCAGGTATGGCCTGAATGATACGGATGATCTCACTTTTGAGGTTTGTGATTGTCCTGAGGTCATTCTCATACACTTTTTCCTAGCCATATCCCTACAGGTAGGGACATTCAGGACGGCGAGTACAGGTGTCCCGACAGCGCAATATTGGCCACTGGGCATGTTCTGTAAAGTGCTGTAACATTGTGACTATCAATCTGATGGTCATGAAATAAAATAGGCTGGTAGGAAATTGAATGATGTACAAATGTGCAAAATATCAGGGAGTTATTTCTTAAAATGACAAATATATGAGGAAATGGTGTAAGGGTTTCCAATTTTTTTTTACCACCCTGTATGTTCGGTCTTTTACATAATATGGTTGGTCTTTTACACATTTTCTTCAAACCCTGTTTTGAGGCTACCAGTGGAAAACACCGACCGGTCGGTGGTCGGTGGGGTCGGTCTTTTCCGAAAACCCAAGCCCCTGTGGTGCTATTGAAAGCCCATCATGTACTTCTTGCTCTTGTCAACATGTAATAACCTCTGTAAACCTTCAATCTAGAAATTTATGCTATCTGACATATGAACTTTACCTGTAAACTCGTTGATTATTGCCCAAAAGTGAACGTTCCTCATCGTTTTGGAAATGTTTATCACTTTCCATCTTGACGCCTCCCGAAGTAGAGAGCTCTACTACACATTCCAAGACTAAGTATCACAAATTTAGTTGTTTTATTACAAAATCTCATTTTAAAAGCTGTTCATGATTTCAATAAACAGATCGGGTTTTCAAATGTATTGTAAGGATGATGTAAGAATAAAATTGTAGATTAGATCTAGAATTGGAATGTGTAAGTTAGCTCCAAATTATCTTCGTGTCATATCGTGACTTTACGTAAAATTAAACTGCTACCCAGCTGCCTGCCATTTCAGTTTACCAGTTGAACAATGTGTTTCTATAGATAGGATGTAGAAATTGCACACTTGCAATAACGGTCGAAATTATAACGGTCGAAATTATTTCGTGAATATATGGTGGTGGTCCAAATGTTCAATTTACAACAATTTCCGGTTGATGCAAGATGCTAGATTTTACCACTATTTTGCTTTATATTGTAGTATTGGTTGCAATATGCCTTACATTGGTAAGCAGTTTATTTCATCATTACATAATGTAACATCCTAATCATTATAGGTGCATTAAATCCTTCAGAACTGGCCACTTCTTGGAAAAATGAAAAAATAAAAATATAAAGTGGGGGACAAAAATAAAACTCAACCATCAAAAGTTGTCACAATGAGCTAAATTCCAAGTTTCGTGTCTCAAACTCTCCCAAGCGGTAGAAAAATAATCCCTGTTCACTTAGTAGCACAACAAATGAATCCAAAGCTTCATACCTGCAAATAATGGATAAATCCATACCAAATCGAACGAATGTTTTCATGAATCGCCATGTTTGTTATACAAGGATGATTGACTCCCAGAATGCAACATCAGTTAACCTTATTTACTCGTGAATGGCATTTTGAAAACTGGCACGTGTCATGTTGCATTCTGGGAGCCAATCCTCCGTTGCGGCACAATCGGGCGACAAAATCACCTCAACATTTGAAGAGTCGGCATTAACATGTGAATATCCACTTCAACTTTTAAGTTCTTATTTGTCATTATGGACACAAATTCCACTATATTTGGACTTACTAGGATGGAGAAAATAGAGCACTGAATACACTGAGGTATGAATTTATTACATGTGCGACAGCATGTAATTTTCATAGCTATAGCAATTCTTTATGTTCCCCACTGTACAGAATCATGAGAATCATAGACTACAGTAAATGTTTGGACTACTTTGAATCTAAAAAATAAGCAATTAAAGGACCACATTGAAACAGAATATGTAAAAATAGGGGTTTGTGTAAAAAACCGGGTGGCCGGGTAACTGGGTACTTGACGTTCCTTGCAGGGTTACCTACTTGCGAAGTTGCACATTTGTAGACTACCCTTCAATATTTTTATGTTACCATTTTACCAAGAACCTGTAAGAGACTGAATTTCGGAAGTCTTTAGGTAGTTATTTGCACAGTTTAAATGGCCGATGACGTTAGTTGCTTGATTTATTGTCTGGATGATTGACAGGATATCGTTGATTGTTTTCTATGATGGCGATTTCTTCTAGCTATTAAACAAATCTGGAAGATTTACATATGCGTAAATTTAAACATTATTTTATATATTAATTAATGTACGATGTACAATACAATGTTAGTTGCTTGATTTATTGCCTCACTGATTGACATTATATTAATTTTGTTTGTCGTTTTGCCGGTTGATTTATTGGTAATAAATGTTGTTTCTTGTTTGGTTGTTTGCTTGATTTGTTGTGTCACTGGTACGTTGATTGGGATGTCAGTTGGGCGTTTTGAGGCATAAAATGAAAAAATCAAATTTCTAACCCTGGTAGGAAGGTAGGGTACCCGGTCACCCGGCTACTTGGTTACCCGGTCACACTTTTTTTACACAAACCCTAAAAATAGAAACACTTATACACGTCCTAACTTTTGTATATTTTAGTTTGTTTTGTAGTTTACGGAAAAATTTTAAATGTATGGAACCATGGGCTTTCAATAGAAAATGAGCAATCAAATGACCATATTGAAACAGTATTAGTATATGTAAAAATAAAAACATTTATACATGTCCTATCTTTGTATATTTTAGTTTGTTTTGTAGTTTAGCTATCATATCTGTGGCCTCTTATATTTTGATGCTTCTCTGCCATGTTATTTTCGGAAAAATAACATGACTGAAACCCCCTAAATTACAAAAGGCCACAGCTTTGCTGCACATTATTCATAACTATCTGAAATATACAAAAATTAGGACAAGTACACATGCTTCTATTTTTTATATAGTAACTGTTGCAAAATAGTCATTTGATTGCTTATTTTTTAAATTCAAAGTAGTTCCAAACATTTAACATTTTACTGTAGTTTATATCTGTGGCCTCTTATATTTTGATGCTTCTCTGCCATGTTATTTTCGAAAAAATTAACATGGCTGAAACTTTCTAAATTACAAAAGGCCACAGCTTTCCTGAACATTATATTATAACTATCTGAAATATACAAAAGTTAGGACTTGTACATATGTTTCCATTTTTTCATATACGAGGGGTGATCAATAAGTAATAGACGCTTTTTTACACAGATGCTTTTTATAGACCAATCCCTTCGATTTTTTTACCAGTGATACATCATTCAATTATCTATCAACTCTGAAGATTTGAAAACAAAACATTATACATTTTAATATATCTTTATTTCCGTGAAGGATGTGTAGGTACCCCGGGACCGACATGACATCAAACATTCTGAAGCTATTTTAGCTTGTTTAACATGCAATGCAGTTGAATGCAGGCTGAACAAAACAAACAACTATGGTCATGAATTACCCCATGGCCCATTTTGTTATGCCATAGTTGATTTTGAATATTTTATCATCACTATGTGGTATTCATGCCACATTCATTCCACAGGGCCCTCTACATAGGTTCCATCAAGTGCTGCATGCACACAATTCCTCATCCTCTTAACTCAAGATTGTGAGACAAGACTGAATCCATTCTCTGACATGGTAACAAGATGCAGTTGCACGGGTTGTTTTAATTCATCAATGGCAATAAACCTGCGTCCTTTCTCTATAGAAATAAGTAGTATAGAAATAAATAAGTCACATGTGAGCAGATCTGGACAATATGGTGCATTGGCCAAGGGCTCAATTTTGAGGTCCAGGGATATTGTTTTCTGAACATTTTGAGATCTGTTGGCAGGTACATTGTCCATATGGAGTAGGGTGTTCCCTTCTCTCACCACCCCTTTCTTCCACAATGCTTTCTCAAATTGACCTGCAAATCCCTTCCATACAACACTCTGACATCACAATACTTTCTGTTTATGTGTTACCAGTCAGAAAAAATTTCAAACAACACAACACTTGCTGCATATAAAAAGTTTAAATATAACTGAAATTTGCCAATCTGGCAAAAAACTGAATATGTCATGTAAATGTCAGTCCCGGGGTACCTGTACATCCTTCACGGAAATAAGGATATATCAACATATATTATATATTTTGTCTTCGAATCTTCAGAATTGATAGATAATTGAATGACATATAATTGGTAGGAAAATCAAAGGGATTGGTCTATAAAAAGTATCTGTGTAGAAAAGCGTCCATTACTTATTGATCACCCCTCGTACTGTTGCAATATAGTCATTGGATTGCTTATTTTTTAAATTCAAAGTAGTTCCAAACATTTATAATTTTACTGATTTTAGATTGTTAAAAAATTCATATTTGCAATCCTTTTACCATCGCATAAAAGAAAAAAATGCTTTTCAATAGTTAGAATAGGGGTTTGTTAAACAGAACATTAAAGCTTAACTAAGGCCTTTTTGAAATTTTTGTTTGGTACTAGTAAGTAATTTTCAGGCCTATAGGTCCTAGGGGTCCCACGATACATTATGAAATGATACGATACCTATCTCGATACTTACTAACCTAATGATACGAACAAAGATTCAATACATGTAATGTCATTTTGGAATTTTTTAACATTCAGCTAAACATTACATCTTAACTACGAATGAAGTTTTAAGGCATCTGAGTAAATGTTAAGATTGCCGTTTTGGATTTACCATCCTATAATCTTGGTGTAGAGGCTTGTCTAAAGGTTTTCAGCCAAACTGTTTCACTGATTTATCTGAAATTTTCAGCGATGTATTTTTGTGTATGAAAGTTAACATCTGATTTGTTTTTGGGCATTCTGAGTAAATGTTAAGGTGGCCATTTTGGCATTTTGAAACTGTATCTGTTGAGGCTTTTCTACAGGTTATTTCAGGGATTCATCCCGAAAATGTATTTTCTATTCAAGGGTGTGATTCTGTTCATTCTGTGTCTTGCTATATGTTCATTCATAAATGTTCTTATGTTTTGTAGATGCTGGCTGTCATACACCTTACAAGCACTGCCTACCCCAACCTTGCCAGATACAAGAGTGAAGAATTTTTTAAGGATCCTAAGAATGGTGGCACAAGTGTGTTATTTTCATCCATTGATGATGTACCAACAAAAGAGTTGTCCATTGTTGTTCCTGCATACTGTGAGGAAGAAAGATGTAAGTCTGCAAACAAACATTACAGGGTGAACCAAATTGCGAAACCAAATTTTGCGAACAAGATATTTTTATCACACCATCTGTGGGATATAGTTGTCAAAGTTGTCGTGATCGTTATCGTGATCGTCCCGCTTTTTTGTCATCGCCATTTCAGGAAAACCACTCATCAGATTTTCTCCAAATTCGCACACATGAAAGAGGATATCAAGTTCTAGAGCTGATTCACTTTTTGAGTGGCCATCTTGTTTTCTGGTGGCCATTTTGAAGGTTTTTCTGAAAATCATGTCATCGCCATTTCAGGAAAAACGCTCATTGGACTTTCTCCAAATTCACACACGTGATAGAGGATATCAAGTTCTAGAGCCATTTTAGGAGAACCGCTCATCGGATTTTTTCCAAATTCGCACACATGATAGAGAATATCAAGTTCTACGTAGAGCTGATGAACTTTTTGGTGGTCATCTTTTTTTCTGATGGCCATTTTGAAGGTTTTCGGAAAATCTTATCATCGCCATTTCAGGAAACCTGCTAATCGGATTTTTTTCAAAATTCGCACACATGATAATTAAGTTCTAGAGCTAATTAACTTTTGGGTGGCCATCTTGTTTTTCTGGTGGCCATTTTGAAGGTTTTTCGGAAATTCTTGTCATCGCCATTTCAAGTAAACCGCTTGTCAGATTGTCTCCAAATTCACACACATGATAGAGGATATCAAGTTCTAGAGCTGATTAACTTTTTGGCGGCCATCTTGTTTTCTGAGGACTATTTTAAAGGTTCTTTACTTCCCATATTCATGTACCTGTGAGGATATAAAGATATATAAAAAATATTTGACCTTCTCAAGGTCAAAAAGGTCTTTTTTCAACTTGCTTCAAATTGACCAATTTTTATTTTCAAAATCATCTACAAGTTCTCAGAAATTCAAATCTGACTTAAGATTGAACTAACAATATTGTGAGGGATGAGGTGGTGACATTTTGTCATGTCAATGCATTGTTGTTATTTATGTTAGTCATGTTCAATATTATTATTACAGTACATTAACCCAATGATAAACTTGTCGCTCTAAGTCACGTTTCCTCTAATTAAGCACCTTTTCCACCACTGGGTCTTTCCACCACTGTCACTCAGCATGCAACCTCGTGGCACCTAAATCCTGCTTTGAATATGTCAGGTTTCCCTGAGAATTTCATAATAGCATTTGACTTCAGCATCTCTGAAGGATGCAATGCTTGGAATGCGTGAAGCTGAAGATTTGTAATGTTAACTTCATTTTTGACATGGTTATTGAATGGATCGATCGGGTTGAATCTGTGTCCTTTGACAGGAAGCTTGACCTTCTCTATCTGTGCTTGATTTAGGAAACGCTTCACAACTGGATTAAAATGTTGAGCTGTAAGATTACCTTTTTCAAGATTCACCAAAAAAGTCCCCGATGAAGAAAGAATTGGCTGGCATGGGCGTAGGGCTATATTTTGAGTTGGTACGCACACTCGGGAATGCCTGATTGCATGGCCGAAGGCCACGCATCGTGGGGGGTCCGGGGGTATGTTCCTCCGGGAATTTTTTTCAAGGACGTTATTTGATAGAATCTAAGCGTTTTAATCAACTTTAAATGTTGACAATGGTAAAAATACAGATACGGTAGGAAGCATCAATAAATTTACAAATAAATTAATGCATTTTAATTTTTTCAAATTCATTTGGTAAAAGCCTATATAAATTATAAGATTGGGAATTTTGATAAAATATTAAATTACCATCTTGGAAATTGTCTCCAGAATAATTTTGAAAATTTCAATAAGAATGGTTGTTCCATTGCAAAATATAGAGTAAAAATATGACTGCATTATTGAACCTGTCTGGGGTACTATATGGCAGAATAACAAGTTCAAGTTAATCATGTAATCACAATTTCTACCAGTAGATATAATGTTGCGATTATGTTTTCAGTGCCAGTTATGCTTGATGAATGCCTAGAGTGCTTAGAAGATAGATTTGTAAGTATTCTGTATATGAAGTAAAAGAACATGTGATTATCACTTCCTTTCAAATCGGTCTTTATTAAGAAAAGGAAACTGATTAGTCTACATGCAACAAAATCACCCCCTGTTATGAGTGTGGACAATTTGTCGAAGTCATAATGAAAGTTGACAAAGCCCACAAAAATGGAGGTCTTATATTTTATATTTCTACCCTTTTAATGCTGACACTCTGTAAAATGTTTTCATGGTATAAAATAAATACCTATAGCTTCAATGAAGCCCGGAAAGTGTGAAGTTATCGTTTATATATTATGAAACAATTAATTTAGGATTTTTGCTGTAACCAGCCAGGCCTGCTCGATGGTATTTGCTACGCTTTAGCATTGCTGTTATCTATTTGGCCTCTGATTGTAATTTACCCTTTCTGCCCTTGTCAAAAATTAAATAAGATTTGAGAACATGTACACAGTTTGCAGAAGAATCATGCGAAAAGCTTGTGAAATTGCTCTGTTCCAACTTCATTGGGAAAAAGGGTATTCATTGATCCAAGCTAATAATATATCTTATGTAATATTTTTATAAGATTTTAGCAAATCAAATACTTGTTATGTCACCACTTCTGTTATGGTCTCCAATAATTTTGTGGCAACGATTGGTGTTTGGCGTACAGAAGAGGAGGGAAAGCCCCAGAGTTCAAAGATGACAGACATAATTACATCTCTTGCTTACCACCTTCGTTCATTCGAATATTCATAGACTAGTTATCAAATGTATGTCATCTCAATACAGGATTACATTATAATCGTATGTCATCTTTGAACTCTGGTGTTATTCCCCCTTTGGCGCACAGCATCTGTAACAAATGGCAGGTCGTGACATATTGCATGTTTCTGCCTCATGTAAAAAGTTACTTAATACCATAATCATATTTTATATGCAAAAAACTTTAATTTTTCTTCTCCTGTTAAATATTAAAAATATTGAAACCTTTCCATGTGACCCCAGTACTCATGGTACTGTTTATTTCATTTAAAAATGTTGAATTACTTGTAGGCAGGAGAACCTCAGTTCAGCTATGAGGTGATTGTGGTTGATGATGGCAGCCCAGATAAAACATCAGAAGTTGCTCTTGCATACTCTCAGAGTTATGGCACAGACAAAGTACGAGTACTTACACTGGAGAAGAACAGGGGAAAGGGTGGAGCTATAAGATTGGTATGTTGATTTTCTCTGTAACTCATATTTAACAATGACAATGGAAAGGATATGTGTTCGAGCAAATCAATAGCCCTGGCACTTTAACTATTTTCACTTAAAAAACGTAAAAATTTGGATATTTTTTCTAAAAAGCAGGAAAATAGTGGCTGTTTGAAATTTCTTTTAGTAATTCAATAAATTGGGAGTTTTAAACAAAAAATCAGGGCTTCTTTTTGAAAAATCGGGTATTGAAATCTATATTTAAAGATTGGGATTTTTGAGAAAATCTTGGTTTTGACTAAGAAATTGGAATAATCACTCAAAAATCTGGATTACTTGACATGTCAGGGAAAGATAATTATTAAAAACTCCCAGGTTTTCAACGAGACTCCCGATTTTTGTTAAAAACCCCCAATATTTTGACAAGATACACCAAGTGATTATTTTTGGGAATTGTATCTTAATTTCCATATTCTATGTAATTAGCTCTCGGGGCATTTGGAAAATTGAAAATACATCCTTCAGACCATTCATATAAGCTCCCATATATGAAAGAAGTGGGAATTTCATGCATGGCAATTTTTCCTGCCAAGAATGCCTTATTTGCAACATCAAAACGAAGTAACAGCATATTTTTATACTTTTTTTTTTAATTTGATGATAGATCGTCATTTCTCAAAAGTTTTACCACAAATGATGTGACAAAAATGTAAAATTAGACTCCGGAAAAAACCTTTAGACTCCGGAAAAGCTATTAGACTCTGGATTATCTAAAGACATTCGATTCCGGAGATTCTCCGGAGTCTAAAAGCCTAGTGAGAACCCTAAATCAATGTTTTCCAGCCAATTGTATGCTAATATACATGTCAGAAGGTATTTTGACCAAGTTTTGAGATATGGCATCTGAAAAGTAGATGACAAAATAATGCTCTTCAAATTCAACATTTGAGGTATCAGAATAAAAAGAAATTTTCAGAATCAGAATTGAAATCCGACTTCCGCTTCAGGATCTATGACCTCTTGGAATCTAAAAACCAAACTTCGCGAAATTCTGAAGCTGAATATTTTAGGTACGATATTGTTCACCCTTTGCCTTTTCTTTGCAGGTTTTATTATGACATCACCACAAATGATGACATAATGTTATGGGCTCCATCTTTTATCCCATTGAACAAAGTTCTGAGGGATTTAGAGACTGCCTCCTTCCCTCCGTCCATACATTAATCATCCGTCCGTCCATCCGTACATCCGTCTGTCTGTCTAGGCGATAACTAAAATACCCTTGACCTGATTTTGTTCATATTTTGCACAATATGCCCTATAGTTCTGCTCGAGAGCAGATTTTGGAAATGGCCACTCATTTAAAAATGGTGACCATTTTAGTGCCTATTTTACAGTAATTTAGGTACAATATGTAAAACTATAATAGCAAGATTTTTAAATGTAAAAAGATTATATAGGACATACTACAACTTGAAAAGTAGTGGAGCGATTTTGTTCATATTTGATTTGTGAATACTATAAGCATGCCACACTGTCTAATGACACTTTGGGTAGTAGGTGGCCATTTTGAAAAATGGCTGCCAGTTTTCTGTTTTTTACTTTAACTTGAAAAATAGTGGAGCATTTTTGTTCATGTTTGATATGTGAATACTATTTTGTTGTAATTATATATGTGCCCAATGAGAAGCATATTACACTTTCTGATGACAATTTGGCTAGTGAGCATTAAAGAGGTCCCATGATACATTATGAAACGATAGGATATATCTCGATATTTATCTAACAATACAAGCAACGATTTGATACATTAAATGTCATTCTGAAATTTTCGAATGTTCAGCTAAACATTACATCTATAATTACGAACGAAAATTTATTTGCTTTTTATTATTCAATCTATCAAGATGAACTAACATTTCTAAATTACTTTTTGTTAGATAAAAGACCCAAAGAATAAAATCAGTCATATCAAATAGTCAAGAAAAGTATATTGAATATAAACTAGAGCATTGAATTATGTAAACATAGAGGACAGAAGTAATTTGTTCGCATCTTGACTGAGGATCCAGTTTGTTGTCTGTTTGTATTGAAACTCAATATGAGGCACTATTAGGGGTATGTTAACAATAATCAATGAATCGTGGGACTCCTTGTGAGTAACCATTTTGAAAATGGTGGCTATTTTGTGTGTTATTTTACGAATTTTGCTATATACTTCGTTTGTAAAAATGCCAGCCAAGGCTGTTCGATGGGATTTGCTACACTTTAGCAGTGCTGTTGTTTAGTATGGCATTATTTTAGCGTCTTTATTCGACATTTTCAATTTCATGTTCGAAATTTCAATTTTCTTGTTTGAATTTTCATTTATCAATTCAAACTTTTTAGTTTTTGTCCAATATTTTCAATTCTATGTTTGATAATCCACATTTTTTGTTTGGTATTACACTTTCTAATTCAAACTTTCAAAGTTTTCATTCAATTTTAGTAATACTGTTTAAAAATAAATCTCCAGTGTTTGATATTTTAACTGATATTTTAACACATCTATCAAACTGCGAAAAAACAGCTTCGAAAGAAAAAATCAAACACCAAACACCAAAAATCAAGATGTCAAACACTGAAAAAATCGTTCATTGAAAGATCGATAATAGCTTTGATGTTCAAATTTTAGGATTCAAAAAGATTAAACTAAAAATTCCAAATATACTTCCTTCAAATTTCGATCCAATTGTTCAAACCAAAATGATAAAATGCTCGAACCAAAATTATACAAAAGTTCGAACTAAGAAATCAACACTTGCAAGCTGTTTTTCCCATTCAAACAGTTCGGCATTCTTGAGTTCGCCATTTTCGATATTATACCATTACACGTACGAAAATTCAGAAAAATAATAGAAAATCTAGTTCTCACATTTCCCACTCCAGGAGTAAACCATTGATATAATGCGCATGCGCAAGATCCCGAACAGTTTAAATAGAAAAATAAGAAATGCCGAACTGTTTGAATAGAAAAATGTATAAATCAAATACCAAAATGAAAAGTTCAAACATGATATGTCTAAAAGTTTGTAGATAAAAGTTGGTTTGAAGTCGTGTAATTATTGCTTTGAACTGTAGAACATTAAATTTAACATTATTTTTTCTTATTCAAAATACGTTTTTCTAATTTGAAGTTCTCAACATTTACTTTGAATTTTTTTCCTTATTTGATGTTTTTGAAAAAAATTGCTTTGATAACAGATTTTTTTCAATTTGAAATATATTTTCTTATTTGATGTTTTAAATATATTTTGACTATTTAAAATATATCAAATGTGAAACTGACATTGAATTTTGAGCCATTTCTGACACCATAGTCTAGTGTGTGACAGCATCCGGTGTTTGGAGTTTTGCATCTATAACAAATGGCAGGTGGTGACATTTTGCATGTTAATGCCTTGTTGATGACTTATATGCTTATAAGATTTTTTTGTTCATTTCAGGGTGTATTTAGTGCAAGGGGAAAAATGATTTTATTTGCTGATGCAGATGGAGCGACCAACTTTCAAGATTTATCAAAATTAGAAGATAAAATGAAGCATTTGATAGGTGATAAAAAAGTAAGTAATGTTTGAAGTGATACTAATTATGCTAAATTGTGTATAATTAAATTATATATTATAATTTTATATATCACCTCATAGTTTCCAGCATTTGTAACATCAAAGTGAACTGTTAATTAGGCAAGTAAATCAGAAACACATGCTTCTACATGAAAAGAAAGTTCTATTGAAACTAGAATCTGATATCCTAGGTGGTAAAGTTATTAAAAATTCAAATTGCAGAAATGTTTGAGATAGTGGTTCTGTTGGGTTGCACTCAGGTGAATGGATGACCAGTTACTCAATAATATAGGTTATTTAGAATAAAGTTTTAGGGGACATAGAAAAGCTGTCCATTAACGGATTTTCCATTTTTTAAATCTTTGTTGTACTGTTCGAGGGACCAATTTCAAATTTTTAGGAATGATTCTTAGTATAAAAATTTAGAACTTATTACTTTTTTCGGCATTTTACGGTTATTTAGGTACAGTATATAAAACTAATAGCAATGTGTTTCAAATGTAAAAAAGTTATAAAGGACATTAATAAACCTAGACATGTAAATATTTAGGAAACACATGGCAGCCATCTTTAAAAAATTGCGACTTTTACACGCTATTTTACAATTTTTGCCGCCATTTTACATGCATTATTTTACATTTTTTTACTAAAACTCAAAAAGTAATAAAGCAATTTTGTTCATATTTGATATGTGAATACTCATAAGCATAGCACACTGTCTTAATGATAATTTGGCTAGTGAGCCACCATTTTGAAAATGGCCGCCATTTTTACTTGTGTTATTTTACGTTTTTTTTTATTATAACTTAAAAAGTAATAGAGCGATTTTGTTCATATGTGACATGTGAATATTCATAAGCATGGTACACTGTCTTATGATAATTTGGCAAGTGAGCAACCATTTTGAAAATGGCCGCCATTTTTTTCTTGTGTTATTTTACGATTTTTACTATAACTCAAAAAGTAATAGAGCGATTTTGTTCATATTTGATGTATGAATACTCATAAGCATGGTACACTGTTTTATGACACTTTGGCTAGAAGGTAGTCATTTTGAATTTTTGCTATAACTGAGACAGTAGTAGAAGGATTTTGTAAAAATGGCAGCCATGGCTGTTCGATGGGATTTGCTATGCTTTGACGTTGCTGTTGTCTAGTTTTTTCTGACATGAAAATTAAAGTCCAGAAAACCAATATAAAGCTCCCAGGGTAATCCTTACATTATGTTACAGGACAGCTGTGCAGTTGTGTGTGGATCTAGGGCACATCTGCAGAAAGATTCTATAGCAGAGGTGAGTCGATCTTTATACATGTAATATTATACATTTCGTCAGTGGCTCATTCTGGTAGTTCCCAAACATTCCTCCAGTTGTTCTTGTATTATGGTAGGCCTAATTCATAATTGAATATGTTTGTAATAATTTTGTTAAAAGAAATCAGCAAAAACTCATAACTACTTTTTTATTGTCGGCCATTTTGGATTTTTCCATCCTAATATCTTGTCTGTCAGGTCTTGTTACAAGTTTTCAAGTGAAGTTCAATTTCAATTTTTCAGGGATGATTCTTAGTATGAAAATCTTGAACTGATTAGTTTTACTGCGTTCTGGGTAAATTTCAAGGCAGCCGTTTTCAAGTTAACTGTATGACGGATCAATTTCAAATTTTCAGGGATGATTCTTAGTATGAAAATCTCAAACTGATTAGTTTTTCGGCATTCTGGGTAAATGTCTTGAGGCAGCCATTTTTCAATTCCAAATTTTCAGGGATGATTCTAAGTATGAAAATTATCCGGCATTCTGGGTAAATTCTAATGTGGCCATTTTGTATTTTCTGTCCTAAAATCTTGTCTGTAAAGTCTTGTCTATGCATTTTCAGGCTAATCATTTGACGGATCACCCATTGGCATGACATGTTGTTCACATTTGTGTTCTTGTTTAACTAAAAAAGACTGAACATGTACACTGTGTGATTTTTAGGAATGATATTAAGTATTTAAATATAGAACTTATTACTTTTGCGGCATTCTGAGTAAATCTTATGGGTTTTCCGCCCTAAAATCGTGTCTGTAAATGCTTATCTACTCATTTTCAGGATCACTTGACGCTCATTTAACGGATCACCCATAGGCATGACATGTAGTACACATTTGTGGTCTTGTTTAATAAAAAAAATGAACGTGTACACTGTATAACAATTATGTTTTGTTTCAGAGATCTTTGTTCCGCACATTCCTCATGTATGGTTTCCACTTCCTGGTTTGGTTCCTTTGCGTTAGAGGAATAAAGGACACACAGTGTGGATTTAAGTTGCTCACAAGAAATGCTGCCAAAATACTCTTCTCTAATCTCCATGTAGAAAGGTGGTAAGTATTTACATTGATGTATCAGCTATATATTTCAAAGATATCTCGGAGCAGTTATATTACAGAATCCTGGAAAAGTACTATATCAAGTACTTTTTATCACATTCTTGGGTGACAGGCAGGCAGACAGGCTGGTGTCCTGATTAATTTTGTCTACAGAATTCCAGCCAAACCATTTGAGGGATTCATCTTAAATTTTCTTTCTACTTATGAAATTTAGAACTGATTAGTTAATTTTGGGCATTCTGGATAAATGTTAAGGCGGCCATTTTTGATTATCCGTCCTGAAATCTGAAATTTTCAGGGATGTTTCTTTGCATGAAAACCTAGAACTGATTGATTTTTGGGCTTTCTTGGTAAATGTTAAGAAGGCCATTTTGGTTTTTCCATCCTAAAATGTTGTCTGTCAAGGCTTGTCTACAGGTTTCAAGCCACACTGTTTCAGAGATTCATTTGAGATTTTCAGGGATGTTTCTACCTATGAAAGTTTAGAACTGATTTGTTTTACCACATTCTGGGTAAAAGTCAAGCTGGCCGTCCTAAAATTTTGACTGTATATGCTTGTGTACTGATTTCCAGCCAAACCATCGAGAAAGAGTTGTAGGCTTGCAGGGTCAGGAAAGCAGGATTCACTGTTTGTTTCCATTGACACCTGTGCGAAACTAGATTCATAATTATATATATATATATGACAGTTAAAAAGGAGGTTTACAGTCACACTCAGGTGCGCTAACCCCTTATTTAAATGTTCGTTTCGCGGACCAGGGTGCACCAGAGTTTAAGGCCATTTCAAATGAAATAAGTGTTAAATGAGGCCACAGAAACTCAAAACTTATGTAATCAAAATTTTATATGTGTTATTTTGCATCTACCAAAACGTTAAACATATTGATAATAGTCATTTATTTTGATTGGTCTAAAACGTGCAAAGCTAGAAGACCCCTCATACCCATTCGTTTTCTATTTTGATGGCTATTAAAACAAAGAAAGATTGACCAGTAGAGATTAAGAATGTGAAGCATATTTATTTTTATTTAGAAATATGGATGATATTTGATTTAAATACAATTCCATTATGACAATTTCTGTTTTGTCAGTCTGGGTCAAACTCTTACAATATAGTATAAATAACCAGGAACCCTTCTAATAAAACAAATTAAATCCAGGTTTGAAAACTCCCAAAAATAACACGAACGACTCTCTAACTATAAACCATTCACATTTTTTGCAAAAGTGGATTTGGATAACGGCAAACCCGGGTATTGAGGGTGCAGATTATGCAAACGAGTGTTTCTGAAACCATCTGAGGGATTTATCTGAAATTTTTATGGATGTTTCTATGTATGAAAGTTTAGAACTGATCAGTTTTTGTTCATTCTGGGTAAATGTAAAGACGGCCAATTTGAATTTTCCGTCCTAAAATCTTGTCTGGCAGGCTTGTCTACAGGTTTCCAGCCAAATCATTTCAGAGTTCATTTAAAATTTTCAGGAATGTTTCTTCCTCTGAAAGTTTACAACTGATTACTTTCCGGCATTCTGGATAATCGCAGTTTCAGATTTTCGGTCCTAAAATCTTGTCTGTCGAGGCTTGTCTCCAGGTTTCCAGCCCCAACGTTAAAGGGATTCATTTGAAATTTTCAAGGATGTTTCTACCTATGAAAGTTAAGAACTATGCATTCTGGGTAAATGTTAAAGTGGCCATTTTAGATTTTCCGGCCTAAAATCTAGTCTTGCAGGCTTGTCTACATGTTTCCAGCCAAACGGTTTCAGGAGTTCATTTCCTATGAAAGTTTAGAATTGATTCGTTTTTTGGCATTCTGGATAATTGTTAATCCGTGATTTTGGATTTTCTGTCCTAAAATCTTGTCTGTCAAGGCTTATCTTCTATAGTCTGCCAAACCATTTGAGGGATTCATCTGAATTTTTCACGGATGTTTCTACATATGAAAGTTTAGAACTGAATAGATTTTGGCCTTTCTGGGTAAATGCTAAGGCAGCTATTTTGAATTTTCCATCTCTAAAATCTTGTCTGTTTAGGCTTGTCTATACATGTTTCCAGCCGAACCTTTCCAGGGATTCATTTGAAAATTTCAGGGATGTTTCTACCTATGAAAATTTAGAACTGATCAGTTTTACGACTTTCAGGATCAACGGTAAATGTTAAGGCGGCCATTTTGGATTTCCCGTCCTAAAATTTGTCTTTCGAGGCTGTCTACAGGTTACCAGGTTTCAAGGATTCATCTTGGAATGTTAGGAATGTTTCTTTGTATGAGAGTTTAGAATTGATTAGTTTTTGGGCAGTCTGGAATCTGGGTAAATGGCAGGGCAGCCATTTTGAATTATTCATCCTGTAAACTGTATTATATTCAAAGGTGTGATTCTATTCACTGTGTGTCTTCTTGTTGCACAATTAAAACAAACTTTAAATCTATTTCCACATTGCCCAAATTAAATTCCAATCCAATGTATTTCTTATTTGCAGGGCCTTTGATGTCGACATGTTATACATAGCTCAACATTTTAATATGGCTATCGGGGAGGTAGCTGTTAGATGGACAGAGATAGATGGCTCCAAGATGATTGCAGTGTGGAGCTGGTTGCAAATGGGACGTGATATTTTATTGATAAGACTACGCTATTTTTTAGGATCATGGAAAATAGACAATAAAGTCAAACTAGACTAAAAGTTCAACATACAAATGTAACAAAATGAAGATGTGATAATCGGAACAATTTATCTATATGAAAGACAGGTTAACACACAGATGTGGATGAAGTCAAAACCTAAAATCCTTCTCTGCAAACTTTAAGAAAAACAGCTGCACAGTTACTTTTTTATTAAGACTTTTAACTCATTTCATTCCACATCTGATTGGGTTTAGCCATTTATTAATTTATGGTGTTTTTGAGTTTCCATAGTTTAACTATTTAGTAGCTTTATAAATGATTTCAGGTGTCCTGTATTGTAAAACCCTATATTGCTGTTAACATTACTTGTATGCGATGATTTTGTAAAAATAAATCAGCAGAAACTCATAACTACTTATTTATTGTTAGCCATTTTGGATTTTCCGTCCTAAAATCGTCTCTGTAAAGTCTTGTCCACTCATTTTCGGTAGGGACATGTCATACACGTTTGTGTTCTTGTATTCAAATGTAAACAATTGGAGTACTGTACTCTGGGTAAATTTTGACGCTATAAAATTTTGCGATTTTTCAAAATTTCAATTTCGCAGCTATTTAATTTCGCGGATTTGAGTTGATGACATTTCGCAGATTGCACAAGTTGAATTTTTTTTCAGATTACCGTGAATCAATGCGGGCTATTTTAGCCCGTTCAGAATCCGAATAATGTTTGTATTTCCCACGTTTAGGGCATTTATTTGAATATTCTTGAATGGCTTTTTCAACTTCAATTTGTAGGATATCATTGTCGTCAACAGTTCTTGCCTTTGTTGGCCTAATAAGCCAATTCAAAATTCTTTTAGTGCCCAACAACACTGGAAGAAAAGTTTCACACCGAACGAAACATATCAAAAGGCCCGGATCAAATCCCAGGGGATTTAATTAAGACAAATTTCATGACGATAAATGTTCGCGATTTTACTACATTCGCGTACAAAGCGAAATTAAATGGCAAGCGAACATTACCCGGAGTACAGTATATCAGAAAATCTCATATTGAAAAACTCGAAAACCTGTGTAAAACCATGAATGACTATCAAAGGACAATTTTTCTATTGACGAATGAGGGGAGCATATTAAAAGAATCTGCTGACATGATAAATTATCTAATGATTGGTGGAGACAGGATTCTTCTGTATTAGTATGCAGCTTGGCATATGAAATATTCTCCAAATGAAACAAAGCATTTCTAATACAAGGATTTATATTGACTGTTCTGCTGTTGTACATGTGTTCTTTGCACGTTCACTCTCTCAGTAATGTTTTCAGAATCATTTTAACTGTATAAATGGATTACTTTATCTCCAAGACAATTTCAAATAAACTGGATTTTACAAAACTCCCCTCATTTGTTAAAAATTGACTGATCCAGTTCACTCGCCTGTTTTTATATGGGAAGCTTATCAGAACCCTTTTAGGGAAGGTTACTGGGATTCACGTTTTACAGATGATACGGTTACTGATTAGTGGTGATGCGGTAACATTGTGAGAGTTTATAATAGAGAGCTAAGATGTCCTAGTTCAGATAGCGAAACATTCTTTATAACAGTGGTCACTGGTCAGGGAGGATTGGCTCCCAGGATCGAAACTCGATATTTTCCAACAATGAAAACGTCGAAATGTAGTAATCTTCTGGAATTATAACTGACTATAAATTCAAAATAAACAGTTCAAAATATTCAAACCAATATCTTGATCATTTCTTGTGAGTTTTGGAATTTTTCGTTGGGAAAGACCAAAATACACGATTTAAATGTTAAAGTTAACATAAAAGTGGCGACTGTTTGAATTCGAATTTTGTATCACGACATCCATATATTGGACAGAATATCGACATGATCGAGGTTGCACTCTGGGAGCCAATCCGCCTTGAACAGTTGTGATTCACAATATCCCGATTCCCAAGATCAATTATTCATCGACATCATCAAGCCATTACTATTTATTCCCACATAGCTAGGCAAATGTGCAAAGTGTGTCAGATTCAAGCCAACCTGGTACCCAAACACAGTATTTCATATCGCTGCAGTTCATTATATAACCAATCACTGCATCCAAGGTCATTCTTTAATGCTTGTCAAGGAAGAAAATAGTTTGCAATTTGGGACTTTCATTGGTGGTACCACAGAAGAGTACGATAATGAATTGTTCTCTCTAAGGTAAGAATTGCATACAATATTTTATTTTTTATTCAACTTTATTCACTAAATTAAAACATTTGTACAATTTCTTTACTAGATACTACTTCACATAGATTTACTATTTCTTAGTTTCCAAATTTCACACAATATGTAATCACAGTCCATAACTACATGCAAGTTCCACCTCCATTATAGTCTAGGTACATTATTAAAGTCATTAGTGGTGCCACACAAGAGTGAACCTAGAACGAACCAAGACAAACTTGAATTTTATATTTTGGTAATGATTTAAGTATGGAAGAAGACACAATTCTAAAAGAAAGTGTCAGCAAATTTATCCTTTCTTTAAATAAATGATTTGGTAGCCTAATCATTAAGGCGTGAATTCACTCTTAAAATATCTGCTGCTTATGTCAGTGATCATGTAAAGTCTACTAGTGTGTATTCATGCACATAGTCATATTGAATTGTTTTATACCACTTTATTTTTAAAGCTAGCCTATAATGCTCTTTAGTTATTAGTGAAATAATGTTGTTCTCTCCAAGGTAAAGTCACACAATATGAAATTCTTCCACCATTATAGTCTTGGTAACAGAGCAATTAATATGAACACACAGGAGAATGATAATTTTGCTCTCTCTCCTCTCTCTAAAGTATGGATCGCACACAATATGTAATCGTAATCCATAAGTAAGTTCCACCTACCACCACTTTAGTTCAGGCAACAGAGTTATTAGTGGTGCCACAAAGTTAAGCCTGCACAAAATATGTAATTGAGGTCAATAAATAAGCTCCATCGCCATTATTGTTTAGATGCCAGAGATATAATGTTCTCTCTACAATAAGGATTGCACACAATAAGTTCCTCCACTATTGTAGTCAACGTAACAGAGTCATTAGGAGTGCCAAGGAAGAGGATGATAATGCTGTTCTCTCCAACATAAGGATGGCACACAATATGAATCGCCAGGAGGTTCCACCATCAATGTAGTAGTGCCACACGAAAGTATGATAATGTTGTTCTCCCAAATGCATACTAGTAGATCGCACAACTGAAAGTAAAAAGAATGGAGTAGTGGAGTATATACAATATATTGTAAATTAAACTGAAATGTGGTTTTTGGTTTTTCAGAGCAGTGTCCATCTTGACCCAATGTGTGGAATGATTATATAACCAAACATGACAGACCACACGTGAAAAAATGAAACGTGGCTTCATGATCACTGAACCAGAGAGCAAAATCAAATGGTAGAACTGATTATGCATTACCTTAAACAAGATGGTATGTAGATACAAAAGCTGCAGACAGGTAGCACAAATTGTAGATCCTCTGTGGTTTTCCCTTTGTGGTTCTTTTTGTTCTCTCCAAGGCAAGAAGACTGCACCTGAAAGTACATTTAAGGAAAAGATCAGCGATGGTTCAATTAAAAAGAAAGAAAACCCCGAAACTAAGCCCACATTTTTAACATGAAAACCCAAAAGAAAAGACCCTTCAATCTACAACTGTAGCAAAAATGAACACAAAACTTCAGCCCTTCAAAATTTAGATCTGGAGTAGTACTTGAAGTCAACTTTAAAATTGAATCATTACTGAGTAAGTATTGGTCAATGGAATAACATTCAATATAAAACAAAACAATACAATTCAAAACAATACAAAACTATACAATACAATACAATACTAAGCACTAGATCCATGATCTTGGTCGTCTGGTTCGTTTGTTGTCTGGTTCGTTGGTTGTTTGGTTCGTAGGATGGAGTGTTGGTTAGTTGGTTGATTAATTAGTTAGTTGGTTGGTTAGTTTTAACCTATTGGGTGGTCTGGTGGTTGTCTGGTTGGTTAGTTTGTTGGTTAGTAAGTAAGTTGGTTAATAGATTAAGCCTATTGGGTCATTGGTTGGTCGGTTGGATGTCCAGTTGGTTGGTTGGTTGTCTGGTTGTTCATACCCTCCCCCCTAAGAAAAACTGGAATAGTACTGGGAGCAGCCCCCTGCTAATGGGATGCAACTGATTGCAAGGGATAAAACTGGTCAAAATGCGACATCTACGGTAAGTCCTGGAAAATCAACCTGATCTCCTCGTTGAGAAAAATGTGATTTCACCAGGACCGTATTTTCGCAGGAAAACTCGAATAGTACTGGGAGTAGCCGCCTGCTAATGGGATGGAACTGATTGCAAGAGATAAAACTGGTCCAAATGCGACATCTACGGTAAGTCCTGGAAACTCGACCTAGTCCCCTCGTGGAGAAAATTGTGATTTCAAAAGGACCGTCTTTTCACAGGGACTTCACCATCTGTGCTACAAATAGATAAAAACATGTTGTAGTAGTTGTTATTTTACATAAAACTTTAAATAAAACTTTACATTATACTTTAGACTACTTAAATCTACACAACTAAAAATTTACAGAATATTACACAAGTTAAAATTTATTTCTCCCAATTTGATATAAACCAGTAGACTTCCATATTTCTGATTTTGAAACATGAACTCCATCCCCCCAGAAACCCAACCACCCCCTCCCACTTTACCTTAGAGTCAAGTTCCTCCACCAAAAATATGGGCTGGCCAACAAAAGTCCTCCAGTAAATATCAAAATTGGAGGCAAAACCAGGAAGGAATACTTAACTTAGGTAGCAGGATTGTCGGTTGTAGTCCTAGTTGGCACGCAGCTGTTGTCTCCGTTGTGTCGTTGGTCATCGGGCCCCTCATCTCCAAGCTGAAAGTGAACCTGAAAACAGAGGAACTGAACAGATTTAATAACTGAATAAAAAGAAATGTACTTACTTTGGTGCTTTGGTGATGACAGGAACACGAACACCTCTCGCCCATGTTACTGTTTACGTGGACTGGACCTGATGGCTCAAAGTTGTCGAAAGACTGATCAAGCTGTCGCCCTTACTTGGTGTGTTCGCTGCATCTCTCTCATAGTTGTACCTGAAAGATACAAGATAAGAAAATGAAAAATACAAGGATGCAACTTGGTCGAGTCACTTCCAATACAAGCGGAGGAGGGAATGCCAAGACATTCCTTTCATTGACTCTAGTAAATCTGTCATCGCCTTGTACCCCTCCTGGCTCAAGATTTATATCATCAAGTCAACTAACTGCATAAGCAGATGTAACTCTGTAGGAAGAATGGAATAGTGGAGTATATGTATATTCTTTAAGAATAAATTGAAATGTGTTGTTTCGTTTTTCAAAGAAGTTGCCATCTTGACTTGGCCCAATGTGAAGTAGGAATGATTCAGGCAACTATCACAGACCACATGTAAAAATAATGAA